CGGTCAATCGAAGAAAGTGAAGGAGGAGAAATGGCGTCGAATGCAGCGGCACCCTTTTGGAGAGCGGCGGGGATGACTTACATAACATACTCGAATCTGTGTGCCAACCTGGTCAGGAACTGCCTTAAGGAACCCTACAAGACCGAAGCCTTGACTCGGGAAAAGGTCCACTACTCCATCTCCAAATGGGTCGATGGCAAGCCTCAGAAACCCAGTAAGCAATCCGCTTCCTCTCTTTTTTGTTTTTGTGATATAAAGTTAAGATATTTTGGTCTCCTTAACACTGATTTGATTGCTTTCACACTTTTCGTTTCGTTTTCGTTTCAAATTCGCTTATTAGGGATGGACGTGTATTTAGTTTAGGGTCTTCTATATGAATTCTGGCAAATTTGTTATTTTGAGGTATCATAAGTGGCTGTTTGTTTTGAGGTTTCATTTTCCCAGGTTTAGTCTTCTGGGAAAATGAAAATTAAAGGACATTCGGTTTTCTCATTCATTATTTCAGTTCTTAAAATCAGTTTAAGACTGGTTTCTACAGATCAAATCTTATAGTTAGGCTGAGGGCACTAATTTATGTGGTAATAGATTTTTCCGCCACTAACTTATATAGGAGGGAGGTGGATTTTGACAAGGATCTTGAGTGTTATTAAGTTTACATTGAGCTCTATTAATCAGTGATCTCAGAGCCAACTGATTTAGTTTTTGGTTTCGTCCCTCTTAGTCGTTTAGCTTATGCTGGATTTAAGTATTATACGTCCTGACATATGTCCCTTCTTGCCATTGTTTTCTAGTTTAACTATTTGGTTTCTCCTCTTTGTCAACTTATAAATAGCAGTCACATATGTTTTACCAATCCAAATGGGTTTTTTTCTAAATGGTGTTAAATACTTCATTTTCTTATCCAACCATAGCTGTTTGTTTTGAAGTTTCATTTTCCCAGGTTTAGTCTTCTGGGAAAATGAAAATTAAAGGACATTCGGTTTTCTCATTCATTATTTCAGTTCTTAAAATCAGTTTAAGACAGGTTTCTACAGATCAAATCTTATAGTTAGACTGAGGGCACTAATTTATGTGGTAATAGATTTTTCCGCCACTAACTTATATAGGAGGGAGGTGGATTTTGACAAGGATTTTGAGTGTTGTTTTAGTTTACATTGAGCTCTATTAATCAGTGATCTCGGAGCCAACTGATTTAGTTTTTTGATTTTTGGTTCTTCCCTCTTGGTCGTTTAGCTTATGCTGGATTTGAGTATTATTTGTCCTTAACATATGTCCCTTCTTGCCATTGTTCTAATTTAACTATTTGATATTTGGTTTCTCCTCTTTGTCAAGTTATAAATAGCAATCGCAGATATCTTACCAATCCAATTGTTTTTTTTTTCCAAATGGTGTTAAATACTTCATTTTCTTATCCAACCAAGCCAACCAAAAATTATTCTAATTAATTTGGTACTGCTCAAGGGGCAAGAACTGTAACTTTGGGGG